GTGCAGATATACACGGACCATAAGAGTTTAAAGTACATCTTTACTCAACCGGATTTGAACTTGAGACAGCGTAGATGGATGGAGCTGGTAGCGGACTATGACTTGGAAATAACATACCATCCAGGAAAGGCCAACTTGGTGGCGGATGCCTTGAGTAGGAGAAGGGCTAGCGTGTCATCTGAACAGAATGTTGGAAGCATTGTGAACATGCTAAGGACATTGCAGTTGAATGCAATAACGGATGAGGTTGAACCGTTGGGTTTGGAAGCTGCGGATAGAGCTGACTTGTTGACTAGGATTCGGATTGCTCAGGAGCAAGATGAGAATCTGAAAAAGGTGTCACAGAATGACAAGACGGAATATCAGACTTCAAACAATGGGACTATTGTTGTGAACGGACGGGTCTGTGTTCCTGATGTGAAGGAGTTAAAGGATGAGATCCTTAAAGAGGCACATCAGTCAAGGTTTTCGGTTCATCCAGGAATGACCAAGATGTATCAGGATTTGAAACGGTACTATCATTGGGTTGGGATGAAACGGGATGTGGCTAAGTGGGTAGCCAGATGTGAGACGTGCCAATTGGTTAAGGCAGAGCATCAATTTCCAGGCGGTTTGTTGCAAACGTTGCCAATGCCAGAATGGAAATGGGATATGATCACCATGGACTTTGTACTGGGATTGCCTAAGACTAGGAAGTTGCATGACGGGATATGGGTCATTGTGGATCGTTTGACCAAGTCTGCTCACTTCTTAGCAATGAAAAAGACGGATGGAGTACCAAAGTTGGTGGACATGTATATTGATCAGATCGTGAAGTTGCATGGAGTGCCAGTGAGTATCATTTCAGATCGTGATCCGAAGTTTACTTCGAGGTTCTGGAAGGAGTTCCAGGAAGCGTGTGGGACGCGGCTGCATATGAGTACAGCGTATCATCCTCAGACTGATGGGCAATCAGAACGGACAATCAGAACATTGGAGGATATGTTAAGGGCGTGTGTACTGGACTGGGGTGGTAGTTGGGAAGACTACTTACCGTTGGCTGAATTTGCATACAATAATAGTTACCAAAGGAGCATAGAGATGTCTCCGTATGAGGCGTTGTATGGCAGGCCATGTAGGACACCATTGTGTTGGACACAAGTGGGGGAGCGTAGTGTAATGGGGCCAGCAGTGGTCGAGGTTACTACAGAAAAGATCAGATTGCTAAAGGTCAAGCTGAAAGAGGCTATGGACAGGCAGAAAAGTTACGCGGACAAGCATCGCAGGGATTTGGAGTTCAGTGTGGGTGATATGGTTTATCTTAAGGCACTGACATATAAGGGAACGGATAGGGCAGCAAAGAGTGCCAAGTTGAATCCGAGGTACATAGGGCTGTACCGGATACTGGAAAGGGTTGGCGCAGTGGCTTACAAGTTGGACTTGCCATCAGACATGGGAGCGTTCCACAATGTATTCCATGTGTCACAACTGAAAAAGCACATTACCGAACGGGAAACGGTTATAGAGGAGCCACCAGCAGACTTGCAAAAGGATCTTGCAGTAGTGGCTAGACCGGTTCGAGTAATAGGACGGAAGGGAGAGACTAAGCGTGGGAAGCTGGTCAGAATGGTTCAGGTCGTATGGGACTGCGACGGGCATGAACAGGTTACTTGGGAAAAAGAGGCTAGGATGAAAGCTGAATATCCCAAATAGTTTGACAAGTTGCAAACGGATGAGTCGGATTCGAGGACGAATCCAGGATGGGTGGGGGAGAGTTGTAGCATCCGTATCCGAGAAAATGCGGACTGATCGTACCGGACAGGAGGTTGTCCGAGGAACGACCGAGCCAAGGGTCGGATATTGGCTGGGAAAAGAAGGTTCGGACTATGGTCGGGTGTGGACCGGTGAAATAGTCGGACATGGGCTGGATAGCCGAGCCGGATGGACCATATCCGAGGGAAATGGGGTCCAGTCCAAGGGAAAATGGGATTTACCCGAGTGAAGTAGGATATATCCGAGAGTCTGGGAGGTTAGTCCGAGTGTCAGTGGACTGTCTCCGAGGGGGAATAGGAAACCTCCAAGGGAAAAAGAGGATTAGCCGAGGAAGGACAAGTGGTCCGAAGGGAATAGGAAATCCGGATGGAAAAAAATGGAAAACACCTCGGATAAGGGCGGTTTATCCGAGTGGGAAGGGATTTGGGCCGTGGGCCAAGTGTTTGGTCGGCTATTTTGGGGTTTATCGAAGGATGGGTCGAGCCGGTACAGGGAATGGCCGAGAGAATCGAATCGGACCGGGATAAAGTTTACTGGAACCAGGAAAACGTCGGATAAGTCCGGGTTACCTAGGGTTTTGCGAGTATTTAAGGGATTTTGAGACTTTTCTCGGGAGAGTTGTGTTTATTCGAGAGCAATAAAGCAAAGAAAGAGAATAGTCGAGAGAAAACCCTAAGAAAAACAGTTTATCCCGAGGATATTCGAGAGAGATCAGGCTATCGCTGAGCAGAACCGACCATCGCCGAGATAAACTGGTAAGCGATCAGATATTCCCCTATGTGTTGAGTTTTCATCGGATAACCTCGAGCTAATAGCCTTGTTTTGTCGGTTTCTGAGGGAAAACAGAGTTTGGCTCGAAGAAAAGTGAACGGATCAAGAGATAGCCGAGGGGATAAGGATCGGATCGTACCGTGAGCCGAGAGATTCTTAGGGAGATCGGATATCTTTGATTTGGAGCGGTTTTCATCGGGATTTCTTCTTACCAATCTGTTTCTAGCCTTGTCTAAGGTGAGTGCGTGAACCCTGGGTCAATACGTGGTGTCTAACTAGCTGTGTGAATGTCCGGATCGAGTTACTGGCTCAAGGGGATGTGTGATTCTCGCTTGGAGCAGTACCGATGCCTTGTGAGGCTTCACAAGTAGCTGAGATGATCATAAGACCGTACTGTTGTGAGTGCGCGACTGTGGTTAGGTCCTAGACCGTAGGGTGACTAGGGTTGAAGGTTCTACATGCTTGATTGATGATTTTCATGTTATGTGTGGTTATGTGTATAAACGGTTAAGTGTTGTGAGATGTTAGGATGTTTACCGAGGCATATATGATGTTTAGCTAACCTCAGGGTAATCCGGATCATGTACTAGCTTAGGAGATGTGGGATTCTCGCTGAAGTAGACATGGGTCTTAAAAAGGGATTGATCTTGGGTGGTTAGGCTAGATCATCAGGGGCCGTTTGATAGTGATGTGTTTATTGTGAATTGATTGTGTGAATGTTGAATCCGAAAGTTTACTGCGTGTTTTGGTACTGACCAGGTGTTACGGGATGACCGTACTCACTAAGTATTTATGAAATACTTATGCCTCTCATTTTGAGTGTGCAGGTACTAAGCAGTAAGGGGGGCGAGACCAGGCGGCAGTGATGGATATGGATGGATCGGGGTTGTGTGTTTTATAACTTAAGACTTGTGTTAGGGTCTTGTGGCTTTGGTGTTACTCGTTAGGTTGCTAGATGATCGTTGTATTCATTAGCGAACCTTGTGTTTTTATTCATGTGGAACCCCGAATCTTGTTTAGTGCTTTTAAAGATGAATAAATGAGTGTTTTGAGTTATTATATTCCGCTGTGTATTGTTAAAGAATGACTTAGAAAAATAAAGAAAAAGTTCAAAAATATGGCTAAGTATAGAATTGGACTTAGAGGATGTAGTGGGACACAGCCACGGTACGGTTTACCGGGTTGGGTTACCACAGAATCGTTGGTGATAGTGGTGGTAGTGGTGGTAGTAGTGTCGGTCGTATCATTTGGTAGTGTCGGTAATGATAGTGGTGGTAGTAATCGGTGGTGGTGGTTATAGGTGATGGTGATGATGGTAGTGATATGGTGGAAGATAATGATATCAATGTTAACACAATAGTTATCACGCTCACAATGTTAATATAATAATTATTGATATAATAACATTGTTAACACGATAGTTATCATGTTCACAATGTTAGTATGATAATTTTTTGATATGCTAACAATGTTAACATGATAATTTTGCATAACTTATACATTTACCAAAGTTAACGTGATATTTATACAATATGCTAATCGAGTATCATATCAGTTAGTATAGTTAACACAGTTAGCACAATACCATATTAGTTAGTATGGTAATAGTTGTTATCTATTCAAACCGTATCAAATAAGTTTACAGGCAAAATAGTCAAAATTTATATATATAATATATATTAATCTCATTTTTGATTGTTAACTCCACTTTTCTAATTGTCAAACTATTTTGGACCATTTACTAAATTTTTTCAAATAATATCATATAACATTTTTAATAAAAAAGTAAAATTACAAATCGATAATTATCACAAAAATAGAAAAAATATATATAGAGAGAGAGTAATCATTTAGAAAATAATATTTCTTTCTAGCTCTAACATCATAAAATATTTTCTCTTATACCATACTGTAATAATGCTCTTAGATCGTAAAATTAATAGTTTATATCATAACACTACTGCCCTATTGGTTCAAAAATGTTTAATTTTATTATTATATTGAAAATGCCATTTAATTATGTAATTTAGGATAGTCTATTTATGTCAACAATTTATGATACTAAACTATGTACTCCTCCCCAATATTTATACAAGTTATGAACGAATGTTTAATTTCCAAAAGACATCATATAAAATTGGAAAAATAAAAACCCAATAGTATAACTGACAATGCACTAGTTTTCACTTAACATTTTGTTTTTCCCTGAATATCTACTTTAGCACTAATTAGTAATTAGTCATTTTTATACTAAAGTAGCAACAAAATCGTCTATGAACGCTAACATATGAAGAGCACTATTTAGAGACAGAAAGTATATAAAAATTAAATTAATATGAGATTTAATTTGCTTACACTAAGGAGATAACCAAATAAACTCCATATAATAATTTTCTTATCAAATGATCATCCTTACTTTTACACACAATAAAAAAGACTGCAAAAGACAGTGTATATAGAAATATATAATCGGTTGTATTAATATTCTTTTTCTTGTTCATTATAGTCTAATATTCGATCATTACTTCTTAGAAGCCAATCATAAATGATATTCAGAGGCAATATCCTTTAGCAAAATCCATCATAGTGAGTGAACTAAGCTCGAAGTCGTCTTCAAGAACCCAGAAGGTGTCGCACAGATTTGAAACCGTGGCTGCAATTTCGACGTTGGTTTGTATTGAGTAGACCGGTTTGGGTTTGGGTTTTGGTTTGAGTTTGGAATCGTCGTATAATGTGTCAAATCTTAAAGTTGAAACTTTTTCTCCAGTGATGTCGTCTTGAAGAGAGGGAGAAGTTGTGGTTGTGACGACCAAAGACGGTGGAGTCTCCACGTCACAAGCGGGTTTGGCCGCAAATGAATGATCTCCCAAGCCGAGTTTCTTGCTAAGATGTGTGTTCCAATAATTCTTTACTTGGTTGTCTGTTCTTCCAGGTACTCTTTTCGCTATCAACGACCACCTGCTTCATAAAAAAACATTTACGACTTAGAAAAAATATGCTATAAATGTCTTGCGAAAGTTTAACTACTTTTTATTTGAAGTGAAGTGTTATTTTCACATTTTTTTAACGCGAATTATAAAAACTTAAATATATTTAGTTGACTTCTATTAACTTTTAAGTATATAGTATATATTAAAAAAACTAGTCAAGAGAAAATAAAAATATCAAAAGTCATAAGAATAACACGAATTTTTGTTTTTTTTTTGTCTGAAAAGATCCCCCTTGGTAAAACGGATGCAACACATGTTTTCGGTTTTTAACGGAATCGTTCACATATATGAGTAATAACAATTTTTTTCTGATATTTCTCTCTGCATGGCTTTTAATATTTCCTATACCGAGGTACGACTTATAATGCTTATTATGGACCTGTATATTTAGAGCATGCATGTGTGTAATTCTAGCAGATTAGATATGTTGATATGTCCTCAGACTTTTTTTTTTTTTTTTTTTTTTTTGCGTCTGCAGACTTATAAATAAAGCTATATGAGACAGGTGTATATGCTTATGATCCATAAATGAGTACAACTATTAGTCATTGTAAAGTTCGAGGAAACATATCTTTGAATAAAAATGTAGATGTATATATTATATAATGGCCGAAGATAGCAAAAGAACCATAGATCTAAGATCATTCACCGTTGAGTCTCAAATTCACGATCCTCAGTGCTGTCGGCTATATTATAATTATAAACAATTATAATTGTATCGTAGACGGGTAGATATATATGAAAGAGATTAACAACAAAAGACTGAATAAAAAAGAACAGAAGTATTATATATGGGATATCGTTAGCTAGCTAGATTTACACATAGAGATTCACGTAAATTAATCTTCGAACAACTCATATATATAAATAAACAATATAATTGTATCGAAGAGAAAATATCAAGATCAGTATTATATGGAAATACAATTTTGGAAAAAAATGAAGAACCTGTTGCCGAGGAGCTTGTGGAGTCTGATGATGAGATCTTCTTCTTGGTCAGTGAAATTGCCTCTGTTTACACTAGGGCTTAGGTAGTTCATCCATCTCAATCTACAGCTCTTTCCACATCTCTTGAGCACTAAATTATTATCCAACATTTTAATCTCTAGCGCAGCTTTTCTTACATCAAGAACAAGCGAGAGAGAAAGGGAGAGAGAGAGAGGGATAGAGAGTAAAAGGACCTGTTTTCTTGGCGATGCGGTTCCAGTGGCCTTGGCCGTGAGTTCGGACATAATCCATGAGAATCTTGTCTTCTTCTACTGTCCATAAACCTTTCTTGTATTCTTGTTCATTTCCATCTCTTGTTATTATTCTCATCCTTTTTTATTTTCTTTTCTTGATCCGAGGAAGAGGGAGAAGGGGAGAGAGAGAGAGAGAGAGAGAAAGAGAGAGAGAGAGAGAGAGAGAGAGAGAGAGAGAGAGAGAGACTTAATGAGATTGAAGGTGGATGAGTCAGTGGTGCAAGTTTAGTCGAGCCTTATTCTTTACATATATATTCCATGTGACGTATATATTGTTTTGTGTGTATATATATGTCTGTGTGTATACTTGCATATTTATATAAGGTTAAGGACATATGTTTGTATGCTGTTTTCTTTCCAAAAAGGTCTGTAATACGGTAAAAAGTCATCAATCCCTGTACTTTTACCAATAAGTCAACATACCAAAATTCATTTATCCATTTAAATGGGTGTAGATATTTTTTACATGTTTTTAGGGCATTTTCATCGGTGTAGACACAGTTGAATATCTAATGTATATTAAAATAATATAATTTATTTATTCAATTAAATCTTAAATAAAAAAAGAAGTTAACCAATAGTTACTTTGCATATGGTTAAATACGTATCTTAAAATAAACGTATCTAGTCCCTTTTTTCTTTATTTCATATTTTTTTTTTTTTTTTTTGTAATTAGAAACGCTGTTAAAAGACGTTGATGAAGTTGGTCTTACATATATTTTTATATGCAAATGCGAGTTCACGGAATAAACATTTAGCGGGTTATAAAATATGTTAAAATTTATGATTGGGAAAATGTATATTAGCATAAGTATATATTTGCACAAAAAAGCAAATATGAATATAAAGTAATAATTATAAGTATAAAAATTATATTTAAAATAAGTGGGAAATGTTCGAAAAAAATAGCTACGAGGATTATATTGCTAACTAGGTCGCGACGATTTGCATATAGATTGAATAATGTAACACACAGAATTTGATGAGCTTTTTTTTTCTCAAATTGACTCAAAAATATTTTGTATAAAAGGAATGTGAAAAGTTTGTTGACACTCGATTTTCTTGGTTTTGGACCTTTTGGTTGAATAAGACGAAAAAGTTATCCGAATTTCGCATTAGGTTAAAGTGAGCCATTGTAAACGGGTATGGTTTACTATGTTTGTAACATGTTGTTCTTATGGCTTGCAGAAAAATCTGAGAATTTATTCAAGACTAAAGAAGATTCGAAGAGCTGAATCTGCATAGAGTAGATAGTCTGATTTATGATACGTACTAATGAAATCTATAAAGGTTCGAAATTTGAAGTTGATCAAAGCCACATATATACTCAAAACTAATTTTATTAAAAACAAAACTAATTTCGTTCATTGTAAAAAAAAATTGATGGTAGAAAGGTTTTGAAAGAGCTGAAACTGTAAGCTAATGTTTCTATCCCAACTAACAAGTTAAGTAGAAACGAAAATTGAAATAGGAAGGTAATTATTATTGGACATGAATCTTCCTTGGGACAGGCAAAAAGCCTTTTTAACTTTTAATATATAGTTGAAATGTGTGTATTATTTTTCTCGGATCCCATCCCACCCTTTTTCAACCCCAATGTACGGAGAACTAATTTGAAGTTATGAGTTATTTAATTCTGATAAACCATACTGTAGTCCAATCTACGGACCTCGTAAAACTTGGTTTGATTCAGTTACTATTCTCGTTCAACTGAAATGTTACGAAGAAATTCTCCAACTTAACTACAATTACCATCATTGTACTAATACAAAAAAGAAAATCAACATATCTGGTACCAAATTCTGAACGTAACAGTCTAGTATGACAATCATTACACTAGATATACCATGTCGTGGATGTGTACTTTATGTATGTTATAGCTGATTAGCTTCCACTTGATTTAGCCTACTTTGATTAGTTTTTATGGATGAATAATGATATATATATAGGACATCTTAATTCCAAACATTACTTTCAATCGACCCAACTAGTTTGATGTTGATCTCTATTAATCTATTAATTACATTAACATAGATACATTGTATCTGTAAAGCCCTAAAGACTTAAAAAAATACGTCATAGCGACAATGTTCAAGTTAATAAAAGTAAAAGATTCGCTGTATGATCATGATTTTTACAAAATTGATTGCAAAAACAAATTAAAACACAAAAACTTGAGTTGAATTATTTTGATGACAAACCATCGTTAATTTGTTCAAGCATTTCTTATAGACTCCAACTTTTCGTTGGGGAGTCCCAAACACGGTTTAAAACTTAACCCTTTAACGATATTATAATATGTTGAAGAAAAAAGAGAGCTGCTATGTGCTTTGATACATCAAGCACATAACGATTTATAAAATGTTAGCTACGAATATATGAAAAACAAATTCAGTCAATGAACATATATAGTAAAAAATGATTAGTTCGTGAGAAACAAAATAATTAAAATATGCTCAGCAACTTTTCATTTAGGTAATTATTTTTGTTTTTGCTTGAATATATGAGGATCGTAACTCGTAAGGATCACGTTGATGGCCACGTGTACACCACAACAACACTTGCAGAGTTGCAGCAAGTCCGACATGATGGCATTGGTAACAAGCGGTTGCAACCATTCCAGAAATATAAGACCACTTCTAACGCTAGAAGCTTAAATTGAGTTTCTAAATTATAAAATATTAATATTTTAATTAGTTTTATTTAAAATATTATTTTGATCTATTGACTAAGTGACACATGTTCTTAATAAGTAGAAATAGATTCTAAAAGCTTTCGTTTAAGAGTCAGATTCTAACTTTTTTCTTTTTTTCTTTTATTTTTTATTAATTTTTTATTTTTTATTATTAAAAGATCATATTAAAAACCTTCAATTAGAGGTGTTTTAAGACCACCTCCAATGAAGATTCTGAACTATAGTATTTAAATCTTAAAAATAATAAAATAATAAAAAAGAAGAAAGAGATAAAAAGAAAACAAGAACCAGTGTCAAAGGCTTCCAGAATCGATCTCAAAACCTTTGAAGACATATGTCTTCTTATTAGTGGTTTATTTTTTTTATTATTAAAATTAATTATTTTATTAAATTATAATAATATAATATTTTTAAGAAACCTATAAATAAACCTCTACCATTCATGCTCTAAAACTATCCCCATCGGTAATACCGTATGTAAAGTATATTATATTAATATAATTTAATAATTTAATTAAATTTTAAATAACTAAAAAAGTAAACCAATAATAAGAAATCATATAGATTTAGAGTATGTCGACTTTCTTACAAACGTTTCTAAATAAACAATAAACAGATACATATCTAATTCTCTTCCTTCCTTTTTTAGTTTTTAATTACTATTTTTTTCTTAGATACCATCTTACATACCCCGAAAAGAGATGATCTAAGAAGCTACAAATATAAACTGCCACAAACAAGCACCAGTAGCACAACCATTCCAGAAATACAAGATATATAAATTAAGAGTTAATTAATAGCTAATATTTTTTTTTTAAATGTTTAGAAAAAAATGTATATCATGGACCAAATGCTTCGCCTAGTAGAAAAAAACACACACGCAACTGTATATTGAGTTATTACAATAACTAGGTATTTATCCGCGCTACACTGCAGAATTTTTTTTTTAAAAATTTTGTATATATTTTAAATATAATAAAATTATTTTTATAATATAAATAATTATTATATTTATTTTTTATTAGCTTAAGTTTGTATTTATATGTTTTAAATTAGAATAAACATTATATATTCTTAATTTTTTTATTTTTTAAAATTATAATCTACTATAAAATTTGTTTAACTAACTATCTATAAATGTATATATAAAAATAAAACAATACATATTTAAATACCTTCATGTTAATGAAAAATGTAATTTACTTTCTCTACTAAATTGCCACTTGATCCTCCTTTGAAATTATATAAAGCAAATTGCCATTTTAAAAAAAATATTAATTAATATGATTATTTTGAATTATAAAAATTATTTATTTATCAAATATTTTTATAAACATATGTTTCTAAACTACCAAACTATAATCAATAACATTCATATCAAAACTATTGTTATTGCTTTAGAACTAAATAGAATATTCTGTTTTAACTGTTTAAATATCAATTTAGTTGAAGTTAAATAATTAAATTTTGATTACTGTAAACATATTGTAACTTGAAAAGTTAGCACAGAGAAATTTTATCTTCTTACAAAAACCGAGAAATCGCATTTTCTGACAAAACAAAAAAAATTCATTTTTCCACGAAACTGAGAAATCGCATATCCCCACCAAAACAAAACAAAAATTCATTTTCTCGTTAAACCTGAAATTTCATTCTCACCAAAACAGAGAAATTGCATTTTCCATCAAAAATAAAAAATCACATTTTCCCGCAAGAACCTGTGATTTCCTGCCAAAACAGAGAAGTCCAGTTTTTCACCAGAACCAAAAAATTTTATTTTCCTGCAAAAAAATCAAAAATTATATTTTCCCGCAAATACCAAAAAATCACATTATATGTGAAAAACTAAAAATTTGCATTTCACATCAAAACCGAAAAATTGTTTATTCCTTCCAAAATCGAGAAATTTTGTTTTCCCATCAAACCGAGAAATTGCATTTTCTGCCAAAATCGTCAATTACAATTTCTCGCGAGAACTAAGAAATTATATTTTCCCACGAAAATCAAGAAATCACATTATCCATCAAAAGCCAAAAATTTGCATTTCTTATCAAAACCGAGAAATCGTACTTTTCTTCAAAATTGAAATGCATTTCCATCGCATTTTCTCGTCAAAATGAAGATATTTTGTTTTTGCGTCAAAATCATTTTTTCTCACATAAACTAAAAATTCACATTTTTCCGCCAAACCCGAGAATTTGCTTTCTATCTGGATTTATAATTGACTTCTAAAGAGTTGACAAAATAAAATAAAAATGGCTTTTAAAGTTTAAAGCTTTTTTCTTGTTTGGCTATGTTCTTCATTAAACTTCATAGTTTGATTGCCATTGGTACTTTTTCTGCCATAACCGAGAAATTATGTTTTCCTACCGAAACCAAGAAATTCTTTATTCCCTCCAAACCCAAGAAAATTTATTCTCGGTAACCACCGGAAATGCAAATCTCCAAGTTGTGGTGGTCTGAGCTTCTCCTTGTTTGCTTTCGACTTCCATTTTTTGTAAACTTTTGGCTTTTTAATAGGTCAGCAAAACAGTAAACTGATTTTATTAGTGTTAAAGATATGTATTCTTGTTATATTTTTATTGGTTCAAATTTTTATGTTATGCTTTTAGCATTGTTGTTATGGAAACATAGTTAATTTAAATTAACTTTATTCAATAAATTTAAAGGTATGAGAGTGAGAAGAAGAATTAGATAACATGGAAAGTATATATTATTTTTTGACTAAAATGGAAAGTATATATTTCGGAAAAAATAGAGAGGGTTTTAAAGAAAACAATATGGATGTGAAATGTAAATCTTTTTTCAAAACTAAAAGAAAAAATAATATATATATATATATTGTGACTTATCAACTTCAAAATATATTTTCCTAGCAATTGTCTGAAAGATCTCAACATTTGTCAAAAATGAATATATTGTGACTTATCAACTTTAAAATTTTGTGAAAAGAATGATAGAATAATGAAGAATGTAAGAATCAAAAAGTTAAGATATGTAAGAAACACTATTGCAATTCTAGTGAACTACTCTGATTTTTCTTTGAAATACGATCCTAAGAAGTTTAACATATTTTGAATCTCCAAATTAAAAGTTTGTTTGTTTGGATTCATGCTTGATTATGATCATTATTAGATACAATTATTCTTATTGTTTTGAATCGCTCGGTTCAAAATTAACTTAGGTTATCAAAAGTGTGGTAATCTACTGGTAGTTAAATGATTGGTTCTTTTGTACTTTTGGTTTAAACTTTATTTAGTACGAAGAGTTATTTTTAAAACTGAAATTTGTAAAAATTATTTACGGATGTTGAGGAAAATTATATATAGATTGAAGGCTCAAAACTCTCAATCTTCATAAGGCTTTTAAACTCAACTTATTTAAGTGATTGGACTTGTTATTGGGTTAAAACAAAGATTACCAACAAATGTTTAATTTTTGGGTTTTTAATGAGTTTGAAGTTAATATATATGAGGTGTATTAATAAAATATTTTTATTGATTGATTTTTTTGCTGAGATGTCATGTTGAGAAAGCTTGAAAAAATTTAGATGTCAACTTATGAAAAAACTTATGAGTTATTGTTGTGTTGGTCTATGAGTTATTGTTGTGTTGATCAACGTTAAATACACAGAAATTTTGACTTTTGTAAGCCTCTTTTATAAAAAAAAAAAACAGTTTTGACTTTTGTGTGGTATATAATAAATTATTTATTTTCAGGCAGATACATACGTAGCTAACATTGATTTTGTTACTTGGCGTTGTTAATTTGTTATGTACTAGATTACGAAGGAAATGCACAGAGTTCGTGTCCCCAATATGTCCCGTGTCCCCAATATGTCCAAAAGTGGTAAGGCTATAAATAGAAATCCACTAAGAAAATCCATAACACCGGGTCTCACAAATTCTTATTGTCAATGATGCTGCACAAAAGGAAAACGAACCGACCAAAACCGGTTTGATATGAACGCCAACCCAACATGTATAACAATTACTTTGTCGTTGTCGGTGCGATTCAACTAGAAACGACGTTGCCGCAGTGGTTGAACCACCCGTTCCATTCCTTCATTAGGGCCTAGGGGCGTGGGTGAAGCCGTTGCATGTTTACCTAGAGCTAAAGGACACTTCAAATGGGCCAATACTCTTATTAAGCCTTTATGCTCTGTTCTAATCGGGAAAGAAACAGCCAATATTCTTAATATATATATATTTTTTAATCGTAGCAATGGAAACAATTACAAATATAATATTTAATGGACAAATTAACTATTTTATAAAGATCTACCGTAGATATGAGAATCGAAACTCAGACTTTCTAGTCTAGAAGCATTAATAATCTTTTAATCAACCACTGTAATCAACCACTGGACTAAGAAGCTTCCACTACTTTTAATATATTTAAGATGTAAATATTATAATCTAAGATATTGTCAAATCTAATCTTCTCCATAATCTAGATATAGTCTATCAATCTTATGGATCTCCCAATAATAATGCTTGTGCAGTTGTGCTCATTGGCTGGGAAAAAAACAAAGAATTAAAGAAAACCAAGAAGAACAAAAGGATTGTGTAAATTATAGAACACAATTCTTCTGACATAAATTTATTTCATTTTTTTGTATACTAATATTGACGGAATAAAGAGATGTTATTAGGAAAAATGATCATAGATCATATTATTTAATCTCTTTTACTCTCGAATACGAGAGTATCTCCTTTCCACAAACAAGAAAGAGAACAAACAGTACAATCATCATAGTCAGCGTTCAAGGCAACAAAAGGTCCTTTGCAACGAAAGCCACACTTGTAACATCCTGGTCGATTTATACCATTCAAGGCCACTTCCCATTTCTTTCCATTGAACTCAAAATGCAGCCGAGGCTTCACATACCTGAAATCTCCGAGTACACAATCAATATGAATAGTGGGGCCAGACCCTTCACAAGTGTAGAACATTATCTTTTGATCCATTTCTCTCTCGCATATCTCGCACCAGTAATTACCGGTCATGTCCTTGTCTCCATCGTAGCATAACTCGAGAGGACTCCTATCGTATTTGTACCTCACCGTATTTGGTAAAATAGCACACTTGAAATCCAAAACAAAATCGCAATCCATACAAGTTAGAACATAACTCGATTCTTGCTTGCAAACCACGCAGATCTTGCTATCTAGTGAAGTTTGGAACAAAGGATGCGGATGACAATCGTAGTTAAATGGCTCAGATATCGAACCACATCGTACATCTAATTTGATATTGCAACATTCATACCTGAAACCACTGCATAGTCGATCACAAGCAGAGCATAAGAATACTCCACTAGTCATGGGAAAGTCCATAACGATGCTATCATCAGGGTAAAGAGTAAGTTGATGGTTGTGTAGTACATGTCGTTGCTTCCGAGGAAGATTAGCACATGCTTCATGGAGAATGAAATCATCACATTGCATACAACTGTAGAATGGAACAGAATAGACAGGACGAACACATGCTCTACAACGCATGTTTTCTTCATGGATATTAGAAAGACCATCCTCAAGTCGTAGATCGTGTTCTTGATGACTGAAATGATTTATCACTCCTTCACTCACAACCCTAAACGGTTCTTCACATTCATCGTTTTCTTCCGGCTCATCCTCAAGCTCTCGCCCATCCCACACGTCTCTCCTCGTGGCACATTTGGAATGAACCACGTAATCGGGACAAATCGAGCAAGAATACGCCCCATATCTCCGGTTAACCATTCTTCGACAAACTCCACATATCCAATCTTCAAGACCAAGAAAATAAGTGCGAGAGATACGATGTCTATGGCGCATAATGCTTATGACTCGTGGTAAGTAGATACAATCTTGATGGATCATGAAATCACACTGAGGACATACGTAAGGAGATCGATCGGATTCAAGACCACATGCATTGCAAGTGAAGCGTATGAGCCTTGGCATGAGAGTGAGGATATGTTCATGACCTTTAGGGTAGTGAACGACTAGCTCAAGCGGATTTCGAGCACAATACAGATCTAAACTGAAATCGCATATGTAGCAATGGTATACTAACCTTCCGAGTTTTTCTCCACATAGACGGCAATGATCGTCACCAGCTACTAGTGGTAGGCCATGTGTAAGGAGCGTGAGAGGATGTCTCTGGTGAGAGGGGTGATTGATCTCTGGAGATGACTCAGCACATTCTTTGTGGACGGTGAAGCTGCATGTGTGGCAGTTGTAGCCAAAGAGACCGTTGTCTCTAAGTTCGGGACATCCGTCGCAGTGACCGTTGCTGTTACCGTGATTGTATAAAGGGTGTTCGTGAGATGGAAGCATCACTGTAGGTCCCATGATTTGGTCGAAGACCATTGATGGCGTTAATGAGTCATCATCATAGGAGTATGCTTCATCTTCTTCATTTGATGTTGGTACGTCGGAGAGCTCCTCAAGTAGGACCATTTTTGTTTTGACGACCTAAACTTTTCGGTTTGCTTGTTGTTTCCGCCGTAGGACTTCTGAGGTAAATAGAAAGAAAGAAAAGAAAAAAATATAGCCGTTAAGGAATTAATATTTTAATGAACCTTTTTCGTGTTTTGAGGTTATATGTCCCCTAAATTTATATTTAAGATTCGAATTTTTGGGTTGCAGTGCTTTCAAGGCTGCCAAAGTTTTAATATGTGCTTCTAATAATAGCTATTTTTTTGGAAAAATAACTAAGAAAATTTTATACTTTTTAAATTGGAGAAAAATTAAGTCAAATATATCTGAGTCAAATTTGTAAAATCAACATAAATTTGATGAATTAATTTGCTAACTAGGTGATCGGCCTGCACAATATTTTATATGTTACATATATAATTAATATTGTATAATAAAAAATACTCTATTTATATGATTAATAATGTATTAATTATGGATATTATATAAATATTTAATAATAAATCAAATAGAAAATGTTATAGATCGTAATAAAAATTTTTTGATAAAAAATCTTAATCAAGAATATAAAATAGTTCCTTAGAATAAAAATAATAAATATAATAACTAAATAAACTGTAACTATTAAAACATATAAATAGAGTTCTCAAAATATCAAAAACATAAATTTAAAAAAGATTTTGAAACACTTCCTTATAGACGATATTCATAGTTTTTTTTTGCACTTTTCCTTCTTTGTCTGTTATGAGAACTTTAAGTCCAGATCTAGACTTAACTCTAGATAATGCAACATATAGCTGTCCATGAAAGAAAACTGGTCTAGGTAGAAATAAACCGACATTCTCAAGTGATTGTCCTTGGCTTTTGTTGATAGTCATTGTAAAAGCTAAAGCCAAAGGGAACTGTCTACGACGCATTCTGAAAGAAAACCTTGTATCTGGTGGTGTCACATACATCCTAGGGATTAGAACTACCTCACCAATCATTTTTTTCATTTTCCGTTATAATTCTACCTTCAACCACATGTCTAGCCATCTGAGTAATAATAAGTCTAGTTCCATTGCATATTCCACCCTTAGGATCTATGTTACAAAGACACATGATAAGAGCACCAACTTTTAATTTTAAGCAATGCTTCGGTAATCCGGAAACTTTGATGCTATTCAAAAACTCAGTTGGGTAGTCCACCTTTTTCAATGTATCTATATCTGAAAGAATAATGCTGTCAGAGCTCAGGTATACTTTCTCATCACCTGAGATATTTAAATAATAAGAAGATCAGTTGTGAACATACGAAGAAACCCATAAAAACAATTTGAAAAAGATAAAAAAATTTAGAATTCTAAAATGTTTATTATGACTACAATGATATTATATAAACATTATTATTTTAATTAGAAGTTGAGAAAATAGTTTCATGTTTTTTTAACCAAACTTAAACAGAAATAAACAAAATGGTATCACAGCTTAACTAAACCTACTGTTTAAAAAAATGTGTGGTTTTACATTATGAATGCAGTATATTATATGGTAGTTATATTTATGAAAGTAAACCAAAGCAAAAAACGTATGATAAGATATTCGAGGTTTATTCTAACAAACCTATAATAAAATGGTTATTCTATAAATTTTGTAATTTAAAATGCAAATTTGATTAAAAAAAAACCATGTGAATGTAAAATAACAAAACATTTTAAAATAGAAATGAAGGTGAAAATAGTTTTAAAATATTACCTGGCAATTTTGAAAGCATATAGTCATTAATCTGATCGACATCATCATTTGTAGGGCTAAGGATGGCCCTAGACGTGTAAAAATTCAGATCAGAAGACTTTTTTGAAGAATCTCCATAATCCTCGCGAACAATAGTTTCAATAGGATCTCCACATTGAGTTATCAACAAATCTTCGGGAATACCAATTTCAACCAAGCCGTCATTTGGTAGATTAATCTTTCCATCACTAATATCCAAAATCCATTCAGATAAAGCTTTAAGATCTGCAGCATCATGATCATTAAGCCCAGCAAGTAATCTCATGTTCTTTGTAAGCTTCAAAACCTTGCAATGCTCCCAAAGGTATGATGCATTTAGAGATGCCAAAACGATTTCCGCTCTGCTCTCTCCAGTGATAACAGGAAGAATCTGTCTAAAATCACCACCAAACACAACTACTTTGCCTCCAAATGGCTTATCCTCTTTTGATCTGATAAATTCTCAAAGCAATGCTTACTCATCATAGGAGCTTCATCCCACACTATAAGACTTGACTACTTCATTAGTTCAGCAATATCTGATCCTGGACTCATATTGCAAGATGTGAATTCGTCTGCTGAAATTGGGATGCCAAACCTCGAATAGGCTGTCCTACCACCTGGTAACAAAAGCATAGCAATTCCACTTGATGCAGTATTAACAACAATTAGACCTATAGAACGAATAGCGGTGAAAAGTGTACTCCATAGAAAGGTTTTACCTGTACCTCCAAAACCATAGACAAAAAATATTTCACCTTTATCATTGAATACTGCATCTACGATGTCTTCATAAACTGCTCTTTGTTCATCGGTAATCATCCCCATGAGTCTTTCATGTTCTTTACATTCATCTTCTGGGATATAATTCTGCTCATCATCAATCAGACGATTGTCAGTGTAATTGTAGAAATCATCTGGCTTAGCCCAGCAAAAAACGTATGATAAGATATTCGAGGTTTATTCTCATCAATATATCCTGAATTTCTGACAGAGCTATGTTTTTGATTTGATCAACTGACAGATTAAGACCTATCATGTTCAGAAAAACCAAAAAGAACATATATAATTACTACAATTATTGTATATAACTGTTTTATAAAGTATTTTTAAAAAATTCAGACGTACCTATGTTTCCAGCTTCTTTCCTCTTATTGAAAAGTATGTCTTCAGTTAGATATTCCCAAGTTTCTTCCCAAACAACATGAGGCAAAGACAGACAGTCTGTAATCAACATTATAGAAAAGAACCTGCAAATAGATTTACCACCACACCAATTGCTGGCTTCTTTAATACTTTCAATGTATTCTTTGTCGTCATCCAACAAACCCCTTGCTTCACAAGCCTCCAGGTAAGTAGGATAGACAAATCTATCAACAGTTCTTATGTCCTCATAAGATGTTGGTCATGTTACGTAGTTAAGCAAAACTCTCAAATAATACAGTTCACCTAATGCAGGATGAATATGTGCAATCCTCCCAATAGCAAATCCTCTTATCCTAGGCTTCCATACTCTGTCTTTGAGATGCTAAACAAACTTTGTAGGAAACTCAGCATATAGCAGATCTTTTGCCTCTGGATATCTCTTATTTGCTTCCATCCAAGCTAAAAAACATAGACTCCTTAACCGTAATACGGTTCATCACACATTCTAGTGGTTCTGATTCATCAAAATATACCATTTGCTGATTTGGCAGATGGAAGCCAAGTTTTTCCACAGAAATAGTCTGATAATGTGTAGGAAAAACCAGTATACGCCATGTTGATTCACAAGCAGACAGATACCTACAGTATTACCACAAAGTTGATCAAAATGCTATCCAATTATTTCCACTATAAATAAAAAGTCTGAATAAAGGGGAAAAAATTGGATTTGAATAAAGAATACCTGCAGTCGTAGTATCTTTTTATTTTGTCAATAACATCATCATCATCATTCTCGATTACTAGTGAACAGTAATCAGGACCCTTGTGGATATATTTAAATAGATACTTGATAGCTCTTGTCTGTATGCACCACTCAACATTCGTATGTGCACGATAACGTAGCATTAGATCCTTGTTGTATAGAACTACATATCTATTATCAAGTTTAATACCATATTTCTCAACAAATCTCTGATCAACACGACGCCTATAAGCTGGAAATCCACTAGCATCAATGGAAGTACTCGTTTTGGTGAGCTTTGGGAAACTCTTTGAGCACTTACCATTTACCATACAAACATTATCCTTTTTTGCAGCACCACATTGTCCATGAATCATAACATCGCTAACAATTTCGTATAATTCCGGATCTACTATTTTATCAGGGATTTCAGCACATATAATCTTATCAATATCATCAGGAGATGGAAATTTAGAACCTTTCTCCATGAAAAACAAGATATGTGCATGTGGCATACCTCTTTTTTGAAACTCAATGGTGTACATTGCTGAGAAAAAACAAAAAATTTATTTTTTATTATATATAAAAATAGAAAGGGAAATTAGTATTAGAATCTAAATGAATACATTATAATGAAAATTACCTGCAACTGTTTTTCCAAAGATAGCTCCTCTTTTCTTTATCAGCTCAGTCATAAGATTGTCCAGTTTCATTATGAAAACTCTGCACATAATATCTGGTCTATCCTCTGTAGTTAATTTACGCTTATGGAGATACCTGATAATTTCTGGCCATTTTGTGTTGCAAGTGAATGTGATGAAAAGATCTGAAAATCCAAAATACTTGCATATGGTCATGGCATCAAGGTAGTGTTGATTCATATATCTTGGACCTCCAGTGAAACTTGCAAGTATAAGGTTTCTTCTTCCTTGCTTATTCATCTTAACCCCACCGTTAGAAGCTGCCTTTTGTATAGATTCGTAGTTATCAGACCTTAGCTTCTTCTGATTTAGCCAAACATACCTTAAGCGATTGGATTCTATCATCGTATATGCATCAACCAGAAATTGTTTAAACAATATTCCTGACCTGGTTATGGTAGGGGATTCTCCTTTTCTCTCAAGGATTCGAAATGCAAAGAACTCACGCATAGTTATTGATTTTCGTTTCCTTCCACTGGTTTCTTCAAATCCGATAGCTATGTCCAATCGAAAACCATCTTCTCCATATGGAAACAAAAGTGGGTACTGTAGTGGCAGATAAGAAGGAGTTAGCTTGCTAATTCTTCGTAACTTTCCTGATGTAGTCTCCAGCACAATATCACGTGTATTAATATTTAGAACAAAATCCCCAGGTATAAGAGCGGCAACTTTGTCTGCAG